GACCAAATTTTTGGAATCAGGAACATTTATTGCTAAAACATTGCTTTATTGCTAAAAATTGCTTTATTGCTTTCATTGCTAAAACAACAATACTTGAATAACACAAATCATGAACACAAAGAAAAAACTATTTCTGAAATTTGCATATGCATTTAAGAGAATTCTTATCGATCAAAAATCATTTTTTATTTCGGCTACTTTCTGATTTGGACGTTTCTGCAAATCAATAATTTTCAGCGAAAGGAGCGATGAGAGACCGAAGCCCATTTGCCACCAAATTTTTGGCAAGTTTTCAAACAAAAAAATTGTTTGGACAACTTTCCAATAAGACTCCCACAAATGTTCCTACAAATGTTCCAATATGACCAATATGACCAATTTAACTTACGCGACTTTTAAGACACGTTCCGGCTGCGTGAGATATTTGCCGAAAATTGAGTCCCATCTGGACATGAACATTTCTTTGCACACTAAATTGCTTGCCTTGATTTGATTCTTGCTAGTTAGCTGATTGGAAAGACAGATAGAATGTAAAGTTTGACAACTTTTCTCGCCAAAGGTTCATAAAAACCGAAAGGACACGGTCTTTTGCAGAAAGGCCCGTAGAAACCGGCTTTACACTTGCACTTTCCAGTCTAAAATCAAATGATTAACAAGAAGGAAAGTTTTGGCTAACCTTTGAATCACAAACTTGTGTGTTCTCGCGAACACAACGACATGAGTGACGACAATTTGTACCGAAGGAGAATGAGGGACAGCGACGGTCACACTTTGGTTTTGGTTTACAAAAGAGAGTAATAAGACCAAAAAAAGAACTGAACTGAAGAAAAGAAGAAAACTGAACTAAAAATGGTATTTGAAGTCTAAGTATTAGATTAGTTCTAGAAGGTATTAGAAGTTAGAATGGTCTAAGCCAGCTCGCCCACCTTGTAGCGTAGCAACTTACCACTGGGCAACGTTTGGCAGCCCCTTCCCCAAAGATTTCAAGTCATTCCTTCTCATTGTTAGCTGTTTATGTTGAAAAAAGCATTCCTTTGAAGCGGTCAATTTTTGAAAATCTTACCATGACAAGTATGTTTATCTTCAGCCAAAACGGATCCCTTTTCACAATTGCATTCATAATCCCCATCCCTATTTCGGCACTCAAATTTACATCCCGCATTGTTGTTCACGCACTCATTGATATCTAAAGTAAGATTTGAAATCGCAATAAGTGCAGCTTGCATTACCTTCACAAGTTTTCCCATCGTAAGTGAGCATGAAACCCGGTTTGCATTCACGATGGAAACTCCTAGCAGTGTTCACACATAATTGAGAACAACCAGCGTTTTCCGTTTGACATTCATCGATATCTGAAAGGAGTGCTCAAAGATTTATATTGTAGCTTTTCACCACGCTACTTCTAAATGAATTTGTGCGTACTGCGGGACTTTGCAGATCTTTGTGCTATTTTGACTTGAGAAGTCGTGAAGTTTTAACTCTTCCTCGAAGTTTTGGCTTCACGTCAAGCTGTTGAGATTTCTTGAATCAGCGTGAAATTGCAGTCTACTATGAGTGAAGGCTTCTTTATAGTACCTATTTAGTTCCTATGCAGCTCCTTCAAAACTCTCTTGAAAGCTCTTTAAAGGTCTAGTTCCCAGAAAGCCCTATAAAACTCCTTTATAGTCCCTATTTAGAAATCTTTCCCTATTAGAAATCTTTTAGATCATGGAATCATTCTACTAGATTCAAAGCTGGATTTCTGCAAAAGTACAAAAGAATTCTTAACTGCATTAAGTGTCTGGCTGGCAGCCAAACCAATGCTTTCTCTAGACACCCTTTTCAGATTTTTATGTGTGTGGCTGTTTTTACACTCTAGATAATAGTAAAGAATACCTGAATTAGCATAAAATCTGATTCTCTATATTCACCGCTCGTTCGTATGATTAGATCGGGATTCTTTGACAAATCTTGCATCCATGCATTCTCGGGAGGGAGGTTTAAAGAAGATAGAGAGGAACTAAATAAAAACCATAAAGCGGTTTTCAAGGAGCTTAGAAGGAGCTTTATAGGAACCCAGTAGTGACTATAAGGGAGCTTTCAAGCCGTTTTAAAGGAGCTTTATAGGAACTAAATAAGAGCTTCTAGGGAGTTTTGAAGGAGCTTTATAGGACTATAAAGGAGCTTGAATATAAATTAATTTTTCAACAATTAACTTTTCATTAATTGTTGAAAAATAATTTATAGGAACTAGATGAAAAATGAATTTTTGAGCTATTTTTACCATAAACGACTGAGTCCCTTTTGTGGAATAAAAGCTCTTCTGTTTATAATATCCAGCTAAAAGCTGGATATTTGCCAGACATGCCTCAAATGTTCTATAGTTTTTGGAAATTCTATAGTTCTTCTTTTTCTCTCGGGTTTGTTATTTTCTTTTGTTTTATAAATTTTGAGATCATACAGTTTTTCTAGAATTTTTGGCAAGAAATGAAGACCATCATGGTTAAATCACTCTCAGACTCAGACCCAAAGCTCAAGTTCAAGGCTCAAAGGTTTGCTATTTTCTTTTGTGTTATAAATTTGATATAAAAAATACATTTATTGAAAACCAATAATGTGATACAAACAAAGGGTACATAATAATACATAAAGGTTAAACACACAATTGTATGGCACTGCGGCCGTTCTCACCCCTATTTACCCCTATTACCCAAATGTTGTGAAAGAAAAAAACCCACTTGGTGGGAAAAAGAAACATTTTTATCTTGCCAGAGTGATTGAACCCTCGACCTTCTGCTTAAGAGACAAGACTCCTAACCGGTCGGCCATCTGGCCATATCATATAATTTTTCTGAATTTCGTACTTTTCAACTGTTGTTATAAAGGGGCTTTCTAGGAACTAAATAGAGACTGTAAAGGAGCTTTAAAGGGAGCCTTTAAGGAGTTAGTTAGGAACTAAATAAGGACGAGGATAAACGAGCCAGGGAGCTTTAAACCCCCTCTCTACCCTCTCTTCTCTTCCCTACTTCCCTAATTCCAATTAATGCATTGGATTATTTTCTTTATTTCCCACAAACGACTTGTGCATAAGTGTGTCCAGTTTCATTCAAAGATTCCATAACCATTTTCGGTTCCAATTCTGATTTCTATATATAGGCACTAGCTTGTCTGCTCTCCTTCCCTTTTCTCTCATCTTCCCTTCCTCCTTCCCCAATCCCAATTTTTGTGAAATAAAACTCAAAGACAACTGCATACACAACCCCAATCCAACGAGCACATCAATTTCTATTAGGTTTTTATTTTTATCACATACCTGAATATTGACGCTTGCTAATCGAAACTTGAAGGCCTAAAAAGCGGAAACTTGACTTGAAAAATTAAAAATTTTACCTTTTTGTTATTCAGAGTTGGCATTTAGCAGCGATCCCGGTTCACAGATGACAACTACGCGCCATTTGGGAAGGAAAATAGTTATCAAATCTTTTTAGGGAAACTGGAAACAATTATGTACAAGCGTTTGTTTGATGTTTAAATCGCAAGCGGAGTAGAGCACTAGTTTTGGACGTAGATTGACTCTTTTAAGTTCTCACTTTTTACTTGTAGGGTGCATCTTCAGCCTTCAGCCAAAACGGATCTTTTTTCACAAATGCATTCATAATCCCCATCCCTATTTTGGCACTCAAATTTACATCCCGCATTGTTGCGGGATGTAAATATATTTTTCATTTTTCTATATTTGGATCTTTTTACTTTCTATCTTTCTATATCTTTTTACATCTTTCTATCGTTCTATATCTTTCTAATTTTTTCTATATTTTTCTATCTTTTTAAATATTGCTATCTTTCTACATCTTTCTACATCTTTCTACATCTTTCTACAACTTTCTACATCTTTCTACATCTTTCTACATCTTTCTACATTTTTCTATCGTTCTATATCTTTCTATATCTTTCTATATTTTTCTTGAAAGATTTGAATTTGTTTTGTTTGTTTGTTTTTGTTTTTGTTTGTTGTTTGAATTTGTTTTTTTTCAAAGACAAATCCAAAAAAGAGACACGAAAAAGAGACACGTCAATCCAAGCACTTTTCCTTTTTCTAATCTTTTCCAAACGATTTTGTAATCGATTCTTTTCACTTAAAATTTTAGAGATTTCTTCGATTCGTCCAGGTCTCCGCCTCGATTCGATCGGTGATCGTCCAGTTCCGCTACTTCATCTCGAGGTAATCAAGCTTTTCTTATATTCATAAATTCCAGATTTTTCCTGTGATAAAGCATAAGATTCCGCTTCAGATGGGACAAGGATCTCGAGTCTGGAGGAATCGGGCAACAAGTGGTGCGTGCTTGTTGAAGAAAAAGAATAAGGAAAGGGCTGATCTTTAAAGGATCCTTTTTCATTTTGCAATGAAATGCTAGCCATTTGACAAGCCTATTCAGGCCTGAAAGCCTTTTCAGTATTGAAAGTCTTTTCAGGCCTGAAAGCCTTTTCAGTACTGAAACCCTTTTCAGGCCTGAAAGCCTTTTCAGTACTGAAACCCTTTTCAGGCCTGAAAGCATTTTCAGTACTGAAAGCTTTCACTTAGCGACTTTCAGTACTGAAAAGCCTTTCAGGCCTGAAAAGACTTTCAATACTGAAAAGGCTTTCAGGCCTGAAAAGGCTTTCAGTACTGAAAAGGCTTTCAATACTGAAAAGGCTTCGGGGCCTGAAAAGCTTGCAGTGAAAAGGCTTGCAGTACTGAAAGCCTTTCAGGCCTGGAAACAACTTTCAATAGTGAAAGGGCTTTCAGGCCTGAAAGGCTTTTCAGTACTGAAAGTCACTAAGTGAAAGCTTTCAGTACTGAAAATGCTTTCAGGCCTGAAAAGGGTTTCAGTACTGAAAAGGCTTTCAGGCCTGAAAAGGGTTTCAGTACTGAAAAGGCTTTCAGGCCTGAAAAGACTTTCAATACTGAAAAGGCTTTCAGGCCTGAAAAGGTTACGGTACTGAAAGCCTTTTCCGTACTGTAACCCTTTTCAGGCTAAAAGATGGAGGTAGTTGTTTTTATTGGGTTGGAGTTGTTTTTATAAACAAATGAAATAAATTGTTGAATTGACAACCGCAAATAAGCCAAAACTCAAATTGTGTGAAAACAATTATATTTTGATATTCTGAGTTCAAAAACTTAATAGCTGCAGAAGAATTCTTTTAGAACAAATTTATTAAAACTCGAAACTCGAAACTCGACGACATTAACTGACGATAATTTCTAAAAACGAATCAATTTTTGTGAGTTGATTTGCTACACTTTATTTTCGGTTTGTTTATAATTTAATCTTTAGTTATTTTCAATTTTAGAGATGAACGCAGACCGAAAGCTTATCTCCACCCAACATGGCGGCCATAAATATTTTGCAGAAAGACTCGAAGACACAGGACACATCCCTAATCAGTTTGCTTCAAAAAATTTCCACGTGATCACTTGTCCCTCTCAGCTCACGTTTTTGATCGTTTGAATCCGATTTTTTGTTTTAGGTTGTTATCAATCCAGCTTCCATATAAATATAAATAGTAGGATTGGGACTGACAAGGATTTCGATTGCCATCAGTTCACAGCTTCTAACACATACGTCTTCTCTCCTCTTGTCTCGCTCTTCTCTTCGCCGTTCTTCTCGTCTTCAGTGGGTTCAAGTTTAGAGAAATTAATCTTCTCAAAGTTTTATTCAATTAGCGCATTTCTCAGCCTATAAATCAACTTTGGCTTATTAGAAAGATGGCCCAAGGTGCCTCAAAGCTCAAAGAAATCAAAGATTTTAGCTTGTTCTGCCATGGTGGACGCTGTTGTCGTCCCGGCATGCGACTCCTTTTGTCCAATGAGTTAAATTCTCAATCAAAAAATATTCTGACTGTTGCTACAAACACCGTTAAACAAGGCCGATAAAGGCTTAGTTTAGGAAATTAGTTTTGTCGTCACAATTTTCTCAATTCATTTAAAAAATATTTATTCTTAGAGTGTTGTCGTCGCTTGCTGCGTTTCAAAAGACTTTAATGGTGGTTTCTGCATCGGTGGAGCAGCCTTCTGCAACTGAAAACCAGAATATCTTTCGAATGTTGTGCGCAATCATTTTGTTTTCTTATATAAACTGAATCGAATGGATTTTTGCTTTCCATCTTTCGAAATCTTGCTATTTTTCTATATCTTTCTATACCTTTCTATGTTTTTCTATATATTTCTATCTTTATAAATAGTGCTACCTTTCTATACCTTGCTACATCTTTCTATCGTTCTATATCTTTCTATATCTTTCTATGCTTTTCTATATCTTTCTATCTTTCTATATTTTTCCATCTTTCTATATCTGGATCTTTCTATATTTTTCCATCTTTCTATATCTGGATCTTTCTATCTTTCTATCTTTCTATATCTTTTTACATCTTTCTATCCTCCCACATCTATATTTTTCTATATTTTTCTATATCTTTCTATCTTTCTATATCTTTCTATCTTTCTATCTTTCTATATCTTTTTACATCTTTCTATCCTCCCACATCTATATTTTTCTATATTTTTCTATATCTTTCTATCTTTCTATATCTTTCTATCTTTCTATCTTTCTATATCTTTTTACATCTTTCTACATCTTTCTATCGTTCTATATCTTTCTATATCTTTCTATATTTTTCTTGAAAGATTTGAATCTGTTTTGTTTGTTTGTTTTTGTTTTTGTTTGTTGTTTGAATTTGTTTTTTTTCAAAGACAAATCCAAAAAAGAGACACGAAAAAGAGACACGTCAATCCAAGCACTTTTCCTTTTTCTAATCTTTTCCAAACGATTCTGCAATCGATTCTTTTCACTTAAAATTTCAGAGATTTCTTCGATTCGTCCAGGTATCCGCCTCGATCGGATCGGTGATCGTCCAGTTCCGCTACTTCATCTCGAGGTAATCAAGCTTTTCTTATATTCATAAATTCCAGATTTTTCCTGTGATAAAGCATAAGATTCCGTTTCAGATGGGACAAGGATCTCGAGTCTGGAGGAATCGGGCAACAAGTGGTGCGTGCTTGTTGAAGAAAAAGAATAAGGAAAGGGCTGATCTTTAAAATGCTAGCCAGGATAGGATTTTCAAAATATCATACCGCTTATACCAAAGAAATCTTTTCAAAGAACTTTTTCCTAGTTTGAAATATTCCCTTGTCAGACATGACATCAATGATAAGTACACTTATTGTTTTCATCCCCAAATTTTGGTCAAAAACCCAAAGAAAACCAATAGCTTCATCGCGACAAAGAGTTCGTAATTGGCGGCTGATGAGAGGAGGCATACGGCGGAAGGGGCTCCCCTTTCACCCCCTTTGGTCGTCTCATTTCCTCACATTCCCCACGTCTTCTTGAATCACTTTATCTCAAGGCTTCACCCCTTTCCCGATCTTTTGATCAATTCATCGATTGGTTGGCTACCTTCAAAAAATGCCCGGCAGGGCCCAACAGCCAACATTTGTTCCACCAACATCCGAATCCAGTGGGTTTCCTCGGTGGTACTCAACCATTACCCCACAACAAATTAAGAAGATAATAACCTAAATTTTTGTAAAAACTCTAAAATTTTTCGAAAACAACTTTTTAAGTAAAGGGGTTTTTCTGAACCCTCAGTTGTAAGCTTCCATATAAAAATATCAGATTAGATAAAAAAGTATTTTTAAAAATTTATTTTCATGGCTTAGTGCCTTTTTTTTTTTCTTTGCCTTTTTGCCTTTATTGCCTTTTTTCTTTTCCTGTTAGCTTTCATCCAGCCTCATCCATCACCCAATCCACGGAACGATTCTCGATTTTCCCCACCCTATTTGCAATTATTTATGAACTTACCTTGAATCGACCTTTCCGGGCATCTTTCGACCTTTTGAGATAAAAGTTGAACTTTTCCTAATCAAGCGAGCTCTTGAAAGACATTTATTGGAATCTCCCTTGGATTAAATCCTTCATTTCATTCGTTTCGTCAAACAAATTGATGAGGAAGCATTGTTTGCAGGTACGTGGCTCGTCGAAAGGATCCATTCCCAGTGCCGATAATCCAGATTTTGACCATGATCGCAAAAAAGAAGGACATTCACAATGGGAGTGAGTTCATTTCCCATTTCATTCATAGTTATGAATCAAATCAGAAGTTTTTCAGAGGTTTTGCTAAAACCTATTATACGAGTTTTTCAGTTGAACGCCTTCGTCGCAATAATATCAAAGACCGCATCAACGAATTAGGGCTTTTGCTGCCTAAAGAAGCCTCCAAGTGAGTTAGAATCAAATTTTCAAGAAAAAACGCTAAATATTTACTTCGCGTTATCACAGCCGAATTTAGAGAGATGAAGCTGAACAAAGGGACGATTCTCAAAGCATCTTGTGACTACATTCGACAATTGGAAAAGGGTCAATATGTAAGTGAAAAAAAGCTTCTATGCAAAGAAGAGGTTTCAGCAACAACAGAACAAATTGGAAAAAGCGCTGCGAAACAGTACGCCGATCGAGTCAGGGTGAGTGAGGAAAATGACTTGGCTTGGCTCCCTATCCTATTCAATCTTTTCTACAGATACAGTACTTTGAGTTTCAACTATGAGTGTATACATTTTCTGAAAGGTCTTTTCAAGGCTGACCAAGTGTTAATATTATTATTTAGTGGTAAAGACAAGGGAGTTGCAGCCGCGCGAAAGTGACGATCTTTTTCAAATATCATATTTCATCAGTGTAGATAGCTGTTAGATCATCCTTATAAGCGAGTAAATAAAGATTAAGGATATCCATTTCTTTACGCAATTCTAGGAACTCGAGGAGATCTTGGCAAAGAATGGCCTCAGGGCGCCCACCAAAGTTCTTCCCCCACTCCCAGCCATCCCCTCCGCTTCTCAACCATTCAGACAGGAGATCCAAGAGAGTCCAAATCAAACCCCATGCGGATCACTTGAAAGCGATTGCTCAACTCTTCTCTTGACTCCCCTCGAGAACACACGCAATCAATCGGCTCCCGATTGGGTACTAAAAAATTAGCAACTAGTACTAGGTCCCCTAAATTTATGTTCTATATTTTGCTCTTTTTCTTTATTTTTAGTCCTCATCGGGTTTTATGTCACAACTCTCTGACACGACGTCTGCGATGGCGATTGCCTCCCCGCTAGGACGGATTTACCATGGGTCCGACCAATTCTTTGGCTCAAGTCCACAAGGTTATCAGACGCCACAATGGAGGTGGAGAAGTTATAGATATATCAAACAAAACTTCGTCTAATTATATTCTATTGATTGTTTACAATATTTAGATAAAATTAGTATCAAATAGGAGCAGCGTGGCCAATTTGGTTGCAAAGTTGAAACTAAAGTAGAAGTTTATTGCAGAAGTAGAAGTAGCTACAGTAGTAGAAGTGAACGTAGAAGCCACGGCGGTTACCGTAAGAAATTACTTTATCAAATACTTACCTAGCTATTAGCTGGATGATCATTCAATAGTTTGCAATTAGTTGTTTAGTTTTTAGGCAGTAAATGGTCAGTAAATATTCAATGTATACCTCTTAAAACTCTTTCTGAATAGTTTAATCTTTGCAGAGACCGCCCAGACAGCCAAGGGATCCACCACGGGCCATTCCCCGATTTGATCACGGAGTGGTGTCTTGAGGTAGGATTGAGATAATAGATAAAAAAAGATGCCATTCTATTTAAATCTAAACCCTAAGATCTAAATTCTGATTTAAATATGAAATCTCTAATATGCTCTGCATACAGAACAATTCACTCCTCCACTCGGACCCGTTGATGTCACAAGCCGGCGGCCCAACGCCAAACCTTGCCGCCAGCCAGATTAGGCATCATATCTCGTGGGATCCATCGAGTTTTAGGTACGCTGGAAAGAAAACAAAGTAGCAACATTGAAATACAAAATAGCAAAATACTTTGATCCCTAGAAGTCGAAAATCTTGATTAAGGCTTGCTTAGATTATCCTGATTATCCTGAAGCTGAGACTGCGCGCAGATGCCGACGCGGATGTACAGTCAATAGCTTTAAGTCCAAGGAAACTGTAGCCCAAGAGTACTGATGCAGTATGTGTAGAAGTTGTTTCAGGGCACTTGGGCAGCATATTTAGAGTCAAGCTATTTAGATATCTGATATTTAAATCCTACCCTAAAATCTGAATTCCTCAATTTTCAGTCCCGACCCGAACATTGCGCCGATACGCGGCACTCACAATATGGACTATTCCACTTGCCATTTAAATATCCAATAAACGACTTGTACATAACGTGTGTCCAGTTTCATTCGAAGAATTGATACCCATTTTCGTTTCCAATTCTGATTTCGATAGGCACTCACTTGTCTTATCCGCTCCCCTTTCTCACATATTCCCTCTCCTCCCTCTCTTCCCTTCCCTCTCTTTCCTTCCCCAATCCCAATTCATGCATTGGATTATTTTCTATATTTCACAATAAAATATGACTTTTGTGAAATAAAACTTGCAATTTCTCCAAGGCAACTGAATACAGAGTTACCCAGATTTTACAGCATTTCTGGATATTTGAAGAGTGTGGAATCACAAGGCAAAGGGTCACAGAAATCACAGGGAATCACAGAAAGCACAAGGAATCATAGAGATCACTGATTTTATGTGAAAACCACCACACCACGAGACCTCTGGTCTGGAGCTAAAAATAGGAACTATTCAACTCATTCTGCCATTTTTCCACAAAACTACCTTTTTTAAGATCAGTTTTTGACAGATGTGGCCCCTTTTAGCCCTGTCAATTTCCGAGCGGCTACTGCGGTGTAGTGGTTATCTCATTAAGCGGGCTTTGAGTTGAAGAAGTTGACCACCCAATTGTTGATCTCATCGATGTCTTTGAGCTGTTCTTCTCGCAGAGAATGTTCCATAGTCCGAAATAAGTTATAATCTGGGGGAGCCATATCGGGACTATACGGGGCATGAGGAAGCACTTGCCACTCTAACTCTAACAGTAACCATATCGCCTTTTTAGCACTTCAAAATGAAGTAATCCTTGGTTAATACACCAAACACAGAGAAGAGCTTTCTTTCCATGTTGTTCTGGTTTCGATGTCGGTTTAGGAATTACTCCTGGACTCAGCCATTGACGTCTTCCAGATAAATTGTCGTATTGTGTATTGAAAAAAAATAGAATAATCTCCGTGGGATTACCATTAGTGAAAGCGATGGATTTATTAAGAGTAATCCCGGTGGGAGAGTTTTCAGGCCTGAAAGGGTTTTAGCACTGAAAAGCATTGATTACTGTAAGACTTTCAGGTCTGAAAGGCTTTCAGGCCAGCAGTGAAGATGCTTAGTCTTCACTGCTGGACGCGTATGAGGGGGATTATTATCCGGTCAGTAGGAAAATGGTTGTATGAATTTGAATGATTGTAATGATTATAATGATTATAATGATTGTAATGATTGTAATGATGGTAATGATTGAAATTATGGTAATGCGACAAACGAAGGGCCATCGTTCGTCGAACTAGAGCGTGTGATAAAGAGAAAGATGAGTCGCCAGGCCGAGATCAGGATCCGGGGCAGAACACTCCGTCACCCCCACCAACGAAAGCTGCACAAAAAGGAGGAAAGACCCCTCACCGTCCGAGAAACAGATTTTTATTTTTAGCTATACCTGTGTTATTCAGTCATTCATTCAATCCACTCAACAATGACAATTTTTCATTGGCTCAAGTTTGAAACTTAATTTATCGAAGCCATTTAAAGGTGATTGATTTATTTGCAATTGATTTCGTGATTTTACAAGTTAGCTTAAGAACTCTTTCCAGCCCAAAATTGCTGATGAAAAGGAAAGAAAGATAAAGTCTGAGCTTTTAGGATTGATTTCAATTTTGCCTTGGCTACGATAAATGACTGTGTGATGTGAAAGCTTAGAATTCCTTGCCGCTAAATCTCGATGAATGAAACAATGAGAGATCAGGTATTCAATTCTGTAAAAGATTGGCTACCTTTTGACTATAAAATATTGGCTATATTGGCTATCTTTTGGCCATAAAAAAGAACATATGTTTTTGAAGTGGAGTGTCCTGGTGACGACTTTTGACTTTGACTTTGACGCATAAAGCATAACTCAGCTCCCATCAAAGGTCCAAAGTGTAACGAAAACCAGGACGAAGAACTATAGCTGGACACCAAAAATTTTATTTGAAAAATTTCTCGTTTTCGTGCAAAAACCATTCGATTCAGTTTATATAAGAAAACAAAACGATTGCAGACAACATTGAAAGGTATTCTGGTTTTTAGTTGCAGAAGGCGGCTCCACCAATGCAGGAACCACCATTAAAGTCTTTTGAAACGCAGCAAGCGACGACACCACTCTAAAAATAATATAAATAAATTGTGACGACAAAACTAATTTTTTAAACTAAGCCTTTATCCGCCTTGTTTAACGATGTTTGTAGCAACATTCAGAATATTTTTGATTGAGAATTTAACTCACCGGGCAAGAGGAGTCGCATGCCGGGAAGGCAACAGCGTTGACCATGGCAGAAGAAGCTAAAATCTTTGATTTCTTTTGAGCTTCGAAGCCATTTGGGCCATCTTTCTAATAAGCCAAAAACTTGAAGCAATTTATAGCTGAGAAATGCGCTAATTGAATAAAACTTTGAGAAGATTAATTTATTTAAACTTGAACCGACTGAAGACGAGAAGAACGGCGAAGAGAAGAGCGAGACAAAAGGAGAGCAGACGCATTGCTTGTGTTAGAGCTAGTTAGAGCTAGGAACTAAATAAGGACGATAAAGAAGGAGCTTTAAAGGAGCTTTCTAAAAGCTAAATAAGGATAAAGGAGCTTTAAGAGAAAGAACGGCGAAGAGAAGAGCAAGACAAGAGGAGAGAAGACGTATGTGTTAGAAGCTGTGAACTGATGGCAGATCGACACCAAAAATGAACAAAAACAAATGAACAAAAAAGCTGGACACTTAAATCGATGTTACAACCTTGGAGCCATACTTATGCCGTACTCGGTACATGATGGTGAAACAGTCTTTTAAAAAGTTTCAGCTTGCGAGTCTCATCACACAAGAAACCGAACCAACCGATCAACGTCTCATTTCTGAAATAAGAACGTTTGAGCAGATTAATAGCAGCCTTATTTCAAAAATCTGCTTATAAACTCAAGGGATCTCTTTTAAAACCCGATACAAAACTTTGAATACTCATAACTTTTGACAGAGTGCTATTTAGCAGATTCGGATTCAGCGTAAAATTCTGCGTTGATAGGCTGCTCAAGTCATTTGACCAGCCTATCTAGTTCACCTTTTTAAGGTTCAGAAAAGTTCTTTAAAAAAGTTCAGAAAACTACCTCTGGTAGTTAAAAAGCGATTGGCGGACAAATTTGAAAAATTAAAATGATCTCGGGCGGGGCCGAACCGCCGACCTTGTGTATGTTAGACAGATGTGATAACCACTACACCAGACCTCTGGTCTGGAGCTAAAAATAGGAACTATTCAACTCATTCTGCCATTTTTCCACAAAACTACCTTTTTTAAGATCAGTTTTTGACAGATGTGGCCCCTTTTAGCCCTGTCAATTTCCGAGCGGCTACTGCGGTCTCGTGGTGTAGTGGTTATCTCATTAAGCGGGCTTTGAGTTGAAGAAGTTGACCACCCAATTGTTGATCTCATCGATGTCTTTGAGCTGTTCTTCTCGCAGAGAATGTTCCATAGTCCGAAATAAGTTATAATCTGGGGGAGCCATATCGGGACTATACGGGGCATGAGGAAGCACTTGCCACTCTAACTCTAACAGTAACCATATCGCCTTTTAGCACTTCAAAATGAAGTAATCCTTGGTTAATACACCAAACACAGAGAAGAGCTTTCTTTCCATGTTGTTCTGGTTTCGATGTCGGTTTAGGAATTACTCCTGGACTCAGCCATTGACGTCTTCCAGATAAATTGTCGTATTGTGTATTGAAAAAAAATAGAATAATCTCCGTGGGATTACCATTAGTGAAAGCGATGGATTTATTAAGAGTAATCCCGGTGGGAGAGTTTTCAGGCCTGAAAGGGTTTTCAGCACTGAAAAGCATTGATTACTGTAAGACTTTCAGGTCTGAAAGGCTTTCAGGCCAGCAGTGAAGATGCTTAGTCTTCACTGCTGGACGCGTATGAGGGGGATTATTATCCGGTCAGTAGGAAAATGGTTGTATGAATTTGAATGATTGTAATGATTATAATGATTATACCTCTGGTCTGGAGCTAAAAATAGGAACTATTCAACTCATTCTGCCATTTTTTCACAAAACTACCTTTTTTAAGATCAGTTTTTGACAAATGTGGCCCCTTTTAGCCCTGTCAATTTCCCAGCGGCCACTGCGGTCTCGTGGTGTAGTGGTTATCTCATTAAGCGGGCTTTGAGTTGAAGAAGTTGACCACCCAATTGTTGATCTCATCGATGTCTTTGAGCTGTTCTTCTCGCAGGGAATGTTCCATAGTCCGAAATAAGTGATAATCTGGGGGAGCCATATCGGGACTCTACGGGGCATCAGGAAGCACTTGCCACTCTAACTCTTCGAGTTTTTCCTGAGCCTTCCTTACCACATGCGGTCTTGCGTTATCATGAATCAAGTGGATAGTCCTCGGATCGAAGCCTTTTTGGCGGAGGACCTGATCGTCTGGCCCCAGTGTTTACTGTGGAGATCAGCAGTAACTATTTTGCCTTTTTAACACTTCAAAATGAAGTAATCCTTGGTTAATCCACCAAACGCAGAGAAGAGCTTTCTTTCCATGTTGTTCTGGTTTCGATGTCGGTTTAGGAATTACTCCTGGACTTAGCCATTGACCTCTTCGAGATAAATTGTCGTATTGTATATTGCAAGAAAAAGAGAATAATCTCCGTGGGATTACCATTAGTGAAGGAGATGGATGGAGGAGGCAGATGAGGTCAAGGACCTCCTCTGCGTTAACGACTTTCTTTGGTTTGTCCAAATTGACAATTGACTTACAAAACAATTCTATTTCAAAATGATCAGATAGAAAATGAGGAAAAGGGCCCTTTTATAGCAAAATGTTGTTACATGATGATAAAATGCGCGCTCTTTAGAATGCGTTAGCTTTCAAGCGCCTTTTAGAGAGCTTGAATTTGTCGCGTTGATTTGAATCAATACATAACTCAACATTTCAATTTTGAGACTTAATCGGCTAGCCGAAGAAGTCTGAGACTTCTTCTGAAATTGTGGAGGTTTCCAAGCATCCTCCACAATTTGCCCTGGCAAATTTGGTTCCAAGCGCCGCAGATCTTTCCATCCCTACGACATATATAAAATGATTGAAAAGGACCTTTTTGCCACGTGGATGAGATTAATTATGGTGGGTCTGCATAATTTTAGGCTCAAAACCGTTCCAACTTCATAATTTCAGGAATGTATCCAACAAACGTGCGCAAAGTCTTCTCGCTGATCATCGATCAGCTGGCCGGCGAAATCGTAATTTGGTGAAGACACAATATTTCTTGTGAGTTTTTGGGTTTTTAGATTTAAGTGAGATCAAGATATCATCTATTTTTAGGTCTACTCCTACTCCTCTACTCTGGTGAGAAGGTGGCCGTGCATCTCGCCCACAACAACCCCCTCTGCCACCCGATATTATGGTTGGTTTGAGTTTGTTGCTAATGTTAAAATGAAATAGGATGATGCTAAAGTAAGGCCTAACTAAACCGCAACTTTTTACCAAACATTTTTATTGATTTGACGATAACCATCAAGGTTTCCTAGCACTTATTTCACGTTTTTTTTTCAGGAATGGAACATCCGGATCAGACCACTATTTTAATAGTGATTATTTTGCTCTCCAATCGCTGCACATTTTGTCTCCGTTGTTAAAATTTTCCTGATTTGTTTGCTTTTTGATATCATACGAGTTTTGCTAAGGTTTTCTCTCGGTTCTGCTATTTTCCTTTGTTTTTAAATTTTGATATAGTTTTTCTGAATTTCGTACTTTTCAACTGTTAGACGTTAGACCATGCCAACAAGTCGCTCTGCTAAGATATGCTTTTTAAGTTGATTTAAACCGTCTTTCGCAATCTCGCAAACTTTTATTACTCTGCACGGTCAGAAATCCTACAAGGATCTGATTTTTCGCTCAGAAAAACCCCAGTTGAATCCAATCAGTAGATTGTGACTAAGGGGCCAATATCCTTTTCAACCCTACATTTATACTAGTGAAAACGCTCAAACTTCCATGAAATTCGAGAATTCCCGTAGCTGTGTCATAAAGATTGGCTGGCTTATAGGAAATGATAGCATTTTCCAAATGGAAATGGTAGCATCAAAAAGGTAGCATTTTCCCACTCCCGATTTTATAATGTTGGGAATAATTTTGCTTTAGTATTGCTTCTACAAATCTCTTTTTTGAGCTTCTAAATTAGCAATTAGATCGTTCAAATAATCTTCAGTTTTGTTTCCCAATTCTTTTTCTTAAGGTTGTGCCTTAGCCTGTAGACTTTCTAGATTCTACAAACAGTCTTAACAAATAAATAACATTTCGTGAATAAGATTTCATTTCAAAAATCAATGCGTTTGATATTGCCAAGGTACACATACATAATGAACTAAAGTATTATTTCAAGGATTACTTATTTGAAAAAGGCATTTAATCTCTGGGTGAATTGAATTGAAAACTAGTCTTTCTTTGCTGATCCTTTCGGCTCCTAAAATTTTATCAAAAACTCGATCTAAGTGCGTTGGTTGCTTGGTAGCTGACGCAAATAAAGGCTGAAGCAATAATTTTTGTTTTGTAAATTGTTTCTGTGAGCTTTCCAATCCAAGCCTAATCCCCGTTATCTAGGTCTAATTCATTTTACTTTTTAGTTCACATGATTTGGTAGCAGTCTTCTAATAGAGTTATGTACTCATTTGGACAGCTAAACTAGCATTAGTAAATTAGGAAATCTTCAGGTATGAGAATCCAAAACGACAATCCAAAGCGACAAAGGGAAATTGAAAATGACTTGAAAGCGATAAAAATTTGTATCAAAAACTCTTTGCGAATCCTAAAAAGCTCGGTCAAAATCATGTCCAAAAGTTGCATATAAATAAGTTAGATATTCATTCTTAACATTTCTCTTTCAGTTTCTGCGTCTGCGCATCTTGTAACTACATTCGACAATTGCAAAAGGATCGAGATGTAAGTGAAAAGAAAAAGTCTCTAAGCAAGGAAGGGGCTGTCAGGGCATATTAAGTAACGGCTACCAATAGAACAAATCGGACATATTATGCGGCGAAACACTACGCCGATGAGTCAGGGCGAGTCGGGGGGAATGGCAAGGCTTGCTTGGCTTCCCTATTCTATTAATTGTTTTTTACAGCTACATACCTTGGCTTTGAGTTTAAACTCCATTAGTGTTATACATTTTCTGGAGAGGTCTTTTAAAGGCCGTTCAAGTGGTAATCTTATTATTTAGTGGTAAAACTAGGAAGTTGCAGACTCGGGGAAAAGTGACGATCTTTTTCAAATATTATATTTCATTAGTGTAGATACCTAAGTTAAACGAGTAGATAAAGACTAAGGATACGCATTTCTTAACGCAAACCTGACGAACTCCCGAAGAGATTTTAACGAAGAATGGCCTAAAGGGGCCCACCGAAAGTTCTTCCTCCACTCCCGGCCATCCCCTCCGCCCCTCGATCAATCAAACAGGAGGCGTCTACTCTCCTCTGTCTCCTCTCTCTTCGCCGTTCTTCTCGTCTTCAGTGGGTTCAAGTTTAAATTAATTAATCTCTTCTCAAAGTTTTATTTAATTAGCGCATTCTCAGCCTACTATAAATTGCTTCAAGTTTTTGGCTTATTGAAAGATAGCCAAAATGGCTTCGAAGCTCAAAAGAAATCCAAAGATTTTAGCTTCTTCCTGCCATGGTCAACGTTGTTGCCCGTCCCGGCATGTACAACTCCTCTTGCCCGGTGTAGTTAAATTCTCAATCAAAAAATATTCTTGAATGTTGCTACAAACACCGTTAAACAAGGCGGATAAAGGCTTAGTTTAAAAATTAGTTTTTGTCGTCACAATTTATTTATATTATTTTTAGAGTGTTGTCGTCGCTTGCTGCGTTTCAAAGACTTTAATGGTGGTTCCCGCCATTGGTGGAGCCGCCTTCCAGAAAACTTTCAGAATACCTTTCATGTTGTCTGCAATCATTTTGTTTACTTTATATAAACTGAATCGAATGGTTTTTGTAATGAAAACGAGAAATTTTCAAATAAGATTCTTGGTGTCCAGCTATAGTTCTTCGTCCTGGTTTTCATTACACTTTGACCTTTGATAGCTGAGTTATGCTTTATGCGTCAAAGTCAAAGTCAAAAGTCGTCACCAGGACACTCCACTTCAAAAACATCTGTTCTTTTTTTATGGCCAAAAGTTAGCCAATATAGCCAATATTTTATAGTCTTTACAGAATTTGAATACCTGATCTCATTGTTTCATTCATCGAGATTGCTGGCAAGGAATACTAAGCTTTTCAGATCACACAGTCATTTATCGTAGCCAAGGCAAAATTGAAATCAATCCTAAAAGCTCAGACTTTATCTTTCTTTCCTTTTCATCAGCAATTTTGGGCTGGAAAGAGTTCTTAAGCTAACTTGTAAAATCAAGAAATCAATTGCAAATAAATCAATCACCTTTAAATGGCTTCGATAAATTAAGTTTCAAACTTGAGCCACTTTCTTCCTAAGGCTAAGGTAATAAAATCAAAGAAAAAGGAAAAATTGTCATTGTTGAGTGGATTGAATGAATGACGGAATAACACAGGTATAGCTAAAAATAAAAATTCTGTGCTGGGTTGTATAAAAACATCTTTTTTGTAAACGAAAAAGATGTTTTAATCTTCAGTTTTGAATACAAATCCACAAAAACAGCAAGCGATTTTGCAATAGCATAACGTTGTGCAGCTGGGTCAAAAGTCGTCACTATGACACTCCACTTCAAAAACATATGTTCTTTTTTATGGCCAAAAGATAGCCAATATAGCCAATATTTTATAGTCAAAAGGTAGCCAATCTTTCAGGCCTGAAAACGCTCCCACCGGGATTACTCTTAATAAATACATCTCTTTCACTAAGAGTAATCCCACGGAGATTATTCTCTTTTTCTTTCAATACACAATACGACAATTTATCTGGAAGACGTCAATGGCTGAGTCCAGGAGTAATTCCTAAACCGACATCGAAACCAGAACAACATGGAAAGAAAGCTCTTCTCTGTGTTTGGTGTATTAACCAAGGATTACTTCATTTTGAAGTGCTAAAAATGGTTAATGATCTCCACAGTAAACACTTGGGCCAGACGATCAGGTCCTCCCCCAAAAAGGCTTCGATCCGAGGACTATCCACTTGCTTCATGAGAATGCAAGACCGCATGTGGCAAGGAAGGCTCAGGAAAAACTCGAAGAGTTAGAGTGGCAAGTGCTTCCTGATGCCCCGTATAGTCCCGAGATGGCTCCCCCAGATTATCACTTATTTCGGACTATGGAACATTCCCTGCCAGAAGAACAGCTCAAAGACATCGATGAGTCGAACAATTGGGTGGTCAACTTCTTCAACTCAAAGCCCGCTTAATGAGATAGCCACTACACCACGAGACCGCAGTGGCCGCTGGGAAATTGACAGGGCTAAAAGGGGTCACATCTGTCATGTGGCCACATGTGTTGAGATTGATTTGTTTGAGTGTAAACTTGGACCGTGGTAAAGCTTGTGGAGTATTTGGGGTTCAATATATCATTGGAAGTACTGTATAAGTTTATCAAACTTTTTAGGTTTGATCGGTTTCACTGATGAGCTCATCGATTCAATTGATAATCCCATTTAAGAGACAAAACATTTTTTTGAGAGATTCGGACAATGAATGATTAGCGTTTGCATGTGTTCAGCGAGAAAGTAATGAATCAATAAAAAGAAACGAATCGACAATTCACCGGTACATAGTCTAACTGGAGTTTAATCTGAAGTAGATGTTTTAACTGGATTCTAACACCAGGACAGGCTTTTAACTCGACTTTCTCTGTAAACCAGACAAAGCTAGAGCCAGACCCTCAGGAGTGAGGGCAATAGGGAAAGGGACTCACTTCAGAGAAGTACTGGGTTTTTCTTTTCTTTTAGTTTTATTGGATATCGGGAAATAAGTCATGAATTGAACGGAAATAATCATGGGAATTGAACTTATTGCAGAAGTTAGTCAGTAAATCCTGAAGGTTTAAGGCTTGGAGACCATGTTTTGAGTAAGATTGTTGGACGGAATTTGGTGAGATATGTTTAAGCCATAGGTTAGCTTTTCAAGAAATGAGATTGATTTGAAGATTCTTTGAAGATTCAAGAAACGAATCTCGCTTATCAGAACCTATCGATGTGAGGTCTGAAAATGTAGCTGACGATGAGATCTAGTGGAGGATTTGAAGTGTTGAGCTTGCGCAAGCTGACCCAGTTACGCAGATACCCAGTTACACAAATCACCCAGTTATACAAATGACCCAGTTGCGCAAGGCCTACCCCAAGATTTTTAATGGGCCACCACCATTAAACTTTGCCATAAAATTAAAACTTTCTACTGTCATAATCGAAAAAGGCAAAGTCTTATGTTGGTGGTGACGATGATGGCTCAGAAATTTTTTAGACATAGAAAACTTTGAACATCCTTAAAACGAACAAAGTTCAAATATAGATTATTTCTACCGAGCTGATCAAGGGACGCACGCCTTAATCTGTTTATTCAGTGTGAATCGCAATCTAGACATCAGCTAAACAAAATTTCCTTCATTGGGAAGCATGCTCGAAGGCGGAACTTTACTTGGATTCTTTGGCAAACAACTGGAACAGCCTTTAAAATGCGTTAATTGAAAAGCC